TTCTTCGTTACTCTTTTAGCAGAACAGCATGGAATGTCACACCACTTAGCTGAAACATGAAGCAGTGGCCAAGTTTCATGATGACAAAAGTGTCATGATAAATGAGTTTCTTTTATGAATGGGAACCACGTCTAAGCTTCACAGAAGTTGCCTGAACAAACATAAAAACTCTGAAGAGTTCAGTGCTATCTGCTATGTAGGCCTTGCTGCTGCTGGTGTCATGCCCCCAGAGATGTGAAAATTAAGTAGATAAAGGAGCACTAGGTGAGGAAGAGGGGGAGTCTGTGGATATTTTTTTCCCTGAGTTGGTTTTTGGGGGCAGTTGCCGTGGTGAATTTTTCGGTGCAGCTGTTTGTTTTCTTTTGTTTTGCTGTGGCACTCAGAATCCTTTTAGGCTGCAGGGATGTTGAGAAATTATCTAGAACAGAAGCTGGCAATCGGTAGCCCTTGGACCAAATCCAGTATGCTACCTATTTTTGCAATGCCTCTGTGCTAAGAATTTTTTATATTTGTTAATGGTTGGGAAAAAGATCAAAAGATGAATAATTTTTGTGACAGATGGGAATTATATGAAATTTAAATTTCAGTGTCTGTAAATAGTTTTATTTCAACACAGCCACACTCATTTATTTATGTATTATCTATGGCTGCTTTTATGGTACAGTGACAGAGTTGAGTAGTTCTGACAGCGATTGAATGCCTGCAAATCCTAAAATATTGGGTTGTCGGAAAAGTCATGACATATTTTTTCTGGTTTTTGTTGCAAAAATGCGCCATAACTTTTCTGACAACCCAATATTTACTATTTGGCCTTTTAGAGAAAAAAAATTTGCCAACCCCTTTCTAGAGTCATGAGATTTTATAGCGATGGAGTTCATTCAACCTGATGATTTTTGTGGCTTAATTAATGAAGACCCAGGTGATGTGAGTTGTCTAAAATTCTATTGCTACACTGCCATTTATTCATTGATTCAAGAAACATTTACTGAATATCTAACACAATGAAGGAAATCTTTTATCCTTCATCTTTCAGATGAGAAATAAAATTACAAAATCTTAAGAAGTCAGTGTACCATTTTTCTCCCCCTCGCCCTCCCCTTGTTCCCCCTCTACTCCCTCACATGGTCCTCTGCTTCCTCTCCCCTCTTCTCACCCTCTCCTTCTCAGCTAGCTTATAGGCAGTTGGGAAAAAAAACAAGTTTAAACAACATTTACCTCAGACTTTTATACATTTAATGTAGGTTAAATGGGATCTTAAATTACAACAAGTTCTCTTTAAAAAATGTTTTAAGAGCTCAATTTTAAATGTTTTAGGTTTTGTCGTGATCAGGTGATAAAAACATTCACACACGACTATTTGGTACTGTTAAGCATTGCATGCATCACGGATGGAGAATTATAAACATAGTTTTGTTTCCAGAGCTTCAGGAATGCAGAATATATAATACAAAATCCCTGGTGGATTAAGAGTTTCTAAATTGTTCTTTATCTCTTTTTATTAGTAGGTAATTCTACAGATGTCATAAACACTGACCATAACTTGGATTATGAAAATTAATTATTGTAAAAAAGGATGCAATCATATTAGTAATTGCTAAAGAACTTATTTAATAGGACTATTTCTTGTAAAGATTGGATTTTTACCTTAAAGGAAGAATGTAACTGTAATGGAATAGTTTTCAATTTTATTAGCCTCCTCACTTGCATCTTGGTCATTCTGTCTGTTAGATTGGTGGTTTTGGTGTTGCTATGCATTTTATAAATATTTACTTAATGTTTACACAGAGCAAGATATTGTACATATGCCACTGCTTATTGAGGCTTCATATTTTTAATGATTTGTGGGTGAATAGTGCTGATTTAAATGAGAGCGTGCATTATTATGCTTGGAGGCTACAGAATCCTTAACTTTAGGTTCTTTCAGAATTTCTTCTTTTTTAGGGAAAATAAACAGGATTTTCCAGTGTAAACATGTTAACTTATCTGCGTCTTCAAATGGACTGTCTGACATATTGTCATTTTCTGTATACTGCATTTATTTGGTATCTGTGCACGAGTTGTGTCTGTTATCTTCAATAATATGAGGTGTGATCAAACAATATGGTCAATGTTTAAATAAAAAAAATTATTCCAGGAAAAGACACATTGCCATGACTCCCCCTCAAAATACTCCCCCTTGCTTTCAACACACTTATCCCATCGTCCTTGCCACTTTCTGAAGCAGTTCTGGAAGTCCTCTTTCGTGAGTGTCTTTACTTCATCCTCCATCGAGACAGTGCTCCATGTCACATATCGCTTCTGGTACAGCAATTCCTGTCAAATAAAAACATTATGGTGTGTCCTCATCCACTTTATTCATGGGATCTGGCACTGTGCCACTTTGGGCTCTTCCCCAAAGTCAAAATGACCATGAAAGGAAAACATCTGTAAAGATATATGTGCTCCGATGTTCACTGCAGCTTTATTTATGGTGTTCAAGACATGGAAACAACCAAAGTGTCCTTCTATATATGATTGGATAAAGAAGATGTGGTATATATACACAATGGAATACTACTCTGCCATAAGAAAAGATGAAATAGGGCCATTTGTGACAACATGGATGGATGATGAGATTATTAGGCTAAGCGAAATAAGACAGAAAAAGTTGAGAACCATATGATTTCACTGATATGTGAGATATAAAACTGAAGGCAACAAAGGAACAAGACAAACAAAGAAAAAAAACTCATAGACACAGACAATAGTTCAGTGGTTACCAGAGGGTATGGGAGGGCAGGGGGTGGTAGATGAGGGTAAACGGAATTAGATATATGGTGATGGAAGGAGAGCTGACTCTGGGTGGTGAACACACAATGCAAAAAAAACAATAACAGCAGCCTTTTCATTTTATTCCATAAAAATCATAATTTCAGAGTTGAAAGGAACTTTAGAGGGCATCTAATACAACCCTCTAATTTTCAAATCAAGTTTCACAAAATTATATTTTTTGATAGTCTTATTTTTCAGTTACAGTTGACATACAATATTATATTAGTTTCAAGTGTACAACATAGTGATTACACATTTATGTAAATTACAAAGTGATCACCCCAATAAATCTAGTATCCACCTGGCACCATATATAGTTATTACAACATTATTGACTATATTCCCTATGCCATACTTTACATCCCCCTGACTATTGTGTAACTGACAATTTGTACTTCTTAATCCCTTCACCTTTTGTACCCAGCCCCCCAATTCCCCTCCCATCTGGCAACCATCAGTTTGTTCTCTGTATTTATGAGTCTGTTTCTCTTTTGTTTGCTTGTTTATTCTGTTCTTTAGATTCCACATATAAGTGAGATCATATGGTATTTGTCTTTGTCTGACTTATTTCACTTAGTATAATAAACTCTAGATCCATCCATGTTGTCACAAATGGTAAGATTTCATTCTTTTTTTTTTTAAAAGATTGTATTGGGGAATTGGGGAAGGGGAACAGCGTTGAGGATTTGGGGAAGGGGAACAGACAAGTTGCTGTCCTTTTGTTCTTCAGTCTACTTGTGGAGGACGTCGCTTCACTGGCCCATGTTGGTATTATCATTGCGCTCTTCCCCGGTGAGGCAGATGGGTCGCCGGTCACTGGACGGCCGCTCACTGTGGCTCACGGCAGCTCACACCAGCTACCAGTCACACGCTGGCTGCCGGCCACTCACGGTAGCTCACTGCAGCCCACTGCAGCAGGGGCTGCAGCCTACGCCTTCGCCGGCGACTCACGGCAGCCCAGCTCCAGGTCGAGCTGTTGTTCACCATCTTACCTGTAGAGGGCACAGCGTCTGGCCCCCATGTGGGATCTGAACCAGGGCCCTGCTGCTCAGAGCTGGTGTTTCAAGCCAGCTCTTAACCAACACGCCACTCGGCCGGCCCAGATTTCATTCTATTTTGTGGCAGACTAGGATTCCATTGTATAAATGTACCACCTCCTCTTTATCCAGTCATCTATTGGTGGGCACTTAGGTTGCTTCCATATCTTGACTATTGTAAATAGTGCTGCAGTTAACATAGGGATGCATATCTCTTTTCATTTTCATTTTTATTTTATTTGGATAAATTTCTGTTATAAAATTTGACAGTCCTTTTAATACATTGTTGAATTCAGTTTGCTTATATTTTGTTGAGAATTTTTGCATCTGTGTTCATCAGGGATATTTGTAATTTTTTTCTGTAGTGTCTTTGATTTTGGTATCAGGGTGATGCTGGCCTCGTAGAATGAGTCTGGAAGTATTTCTTCTTCTTCAAGTTTTTGGAATAATTGGAGGATAGGTATTCTTCATTAAATGTTTGGTAGAGTTCACTTGTAAAGCCGTCTGGTTCTGGATTTCTGTTTGCTGTTTTTTGATTGTTGAGATTCAATTTTATTACTAGTAATTAGTCTGTTGAGATTTTCTGTTTCTTTGATTTGGTCTTGGACGATAGTGTGTTTCTAGGAATTTATTCATTCGTTCTAGGCTGAATATTTTCAAGGTTAGTTGTAAGATTTGTAGATAGGTCTATTTTATAAGCTAATCCAATAAGCATTGAAATCTATTACCCTAGCCATGTGCAAACACTGTGGTATGTGCCATGGGAAACACAAGGATAAAAGAAGCTGTCCCTAATCTTAAGAAAGTTGCCATGTAATAGGAAAGATAGAACATGTGTAAATTGCTATAGCATAAGAAGACTGTTGAAGTTACTTTGTTTCTAAATGTATATATGTGAACCAGAACAGTAGAATATTCAGTTGTGTTAAGTCAACTATATTAAATTGTAAAGCAAAAATGTATACACATGGAAAGCAAGTGGGATATGGTTAACTAACTGTGTAATATACTTTGCTTGCCAATGACAGAGTAACAGATCACACAGTACTAGATTAGCAAATGGCAGTAAGAAGGTGGATATACTAAGTCAGATTTTTAAAGATCTGAATTTCTGGAATGGCTAACGGATGGCTTGGTATCATCTTTACCTAGGCTCTCCAGACATGGCCGCTGATAGAAAAGAGGACGTGTTGGCATGGTCACGCAGGAGGAGGACTCCACACAGACCCGAAAGAAGGGGTAAGAACTATTAACAAGTAACTAGAGCTTAAAGATGACTGTGCTTGCATAGATGGTATATCAGAGATTACCATTTTCCAGACTCTTGATTGATTTGTGTAACTGCAGGTTTTCTATTATGATACAAAACCATATGGATTGATCATGGTTATTCAGATGAGATTTTCTCCATCTTAAAACAAACAAAAAATTATGACTGACTAAAAAAGAAAATATTAGTTATCAACCTAAACATTTTAGCTCTTTATTTAAAATAGCATTTGTTGTGCCAGCCAAGTGGCTCAGTTGGTTAAGACTTAGCTTAAGAGCGCGAGCTCTGAGCAACAGGGCCACCGGTTCTATTCCCATATGGGCCAGTGACTCTGCGCCCGAGCTGAGCTGCTGCTGAGCTACTGCTGAGCTGCCAGCAGGTGGCAGGATGGCTCAGCTGGTGAGAGCACGTGCTCCTAACAACAAGACTGTCTGTTTGAGGTGGGCTACACCCGCCCGCAATTAAGACTGAACTCGGAACCTTAAGCTGAGCTGCTACCCGGATGGCTCAGTGGATAGAGCGTGCGCTCTTAACAACAAGGCTGCTGGTTCCACTCCCGCATGGGATGGTGGCTACGCCCACCCACAACTAAGATTGAACACAGCACCTTGAACTTAGAGGCCACGAGCTGCCTCTAAGATGGCGACAGGCGCCCTCCACAACGAAGATTGAAGAACAACAACTTGGCTTGTCCCCCTCCCCAGTTCCCCAACACTGTACCTCTCCCCCAATTCTCCAACACTGTTCCTCTCCCCAACTCCCCAATTAAAAAAAATAGCATTGGTTCAGGTTACTTGTTACATAATCTAGCCTTATAAATAAATAGGTAGATTAGATTTAGCACTTATAAGTAATTTGTGTGCATGTGGGTGTGTGTTTTAAGGTTAACGTTTTCCCTTATGAACACTTAGTTTAGAAAGATCCTAAATGTCCCCTGATTTCATGGTAAATCCTCCATCCACCTGATCCATTTATTTAATTATCCATATTCTTTATCATTTTTGTTATCATCATACAGACAAGCTAATCAGTACAGCCACTGAAATGAAAAGATTTAATTGTATTATTATACTTTTTCTGAGTGAGTGAAAATGTCATTGGAACACTGTTAGACAGTTTTACATCTGGCTCTTTCTTTGTACTTGTCTTTGTTTTCTTCCTCCTACTTGACCCAACCAGTTTATATGTGGTATCTCTAAGTAGAAATGATATTTTTAGGGTTATTGGCAAGGGAATAAATTTTATGTAAAAGTGCTCTCTAAATTCTAGAGAGATAAATATTAGTTATTTTACCAGTGGGAGGCGATTGGTAAGAAAATCTTTATAGTGTTTTTCTCCCGTTTCTTTGATCCTCAGAATCAGAATAGCTCCTTTCTTTATTTTTTCTTTTTTCTTCTTATTATTTTTATTGGGGAATTGGGGGAAGGGAACAGCTCTGGGAATTGGGGGAAGGGGAACAGACAAGTTGCTGTCGTTCTTTAGTCTACTTGTGGAGGATGTTGCTTCACTGGCCCAAGTTGGCACCATCATTGCGCTCTTCCCGGGCAGGGCAGATCAGTCGCCGGCTTCTGGAAGGCTGCTCACAGCGGCTGCTGGCCGCTCACACTGGCCGCTGGCTACACACTCTAGCCCATGGTAACCCACTGCAGCAGGGGCTGCAGCCTACGCCGTCAACTCATGGCAGCCCAGCTCCAGGTTGAGCTGTTGTTCAACATCTCAGCTGCAGAGGGCAGTGTCACTGGCCCTCATATGTGGGATCCGAACCGGGGTCCTCTGGCATCCCAAGCCAGCTCTTAACCACCGCGCCTCTTGGCCGGCCCAGAATAGTTCCTTTCTTTCACAGCACTTAAAACACATCACTTTCATGTTTCTGTCCCATTTTTGTATATTACTAGTTTTCATGGCTGTCTTTAGATAAAGCAAAATATTATAGAATTTAAAAAAGTTAATACAGGGCCGGCCGAGTGGCACATTGGTTAAGAGCTGGCTTGGGATGCCAAAGGGCCCCGGTTCGGATCCCACATATGAGGGCCAGTGACACTGCCCTCTACAGCTAAGATGCTGAACAACAGCTCAACTTGGAGCTGGGCTGCCGTGAGTTGCCGGCGACGGCGTAGGCTGCAGCCCCTGCTGCAGTGGGTTGCTATAACCTACTGTGTGTAGCTGGCAGCCAGCATGAGCGGCCAGCAGCCGCCATGAGCGGCCGTCCAGAAGCCGGGGACTGCTCTGCCTCACCCAGGAAGAGCGCAATGATGGTTCCAACTTGGGCCAGTGAAGCAACGTCCTCCACAAGTAGACTGAAGACCAAAACGACAGCAACTTGTCTGTTCCCCTTCCCCCAATTCCCCAGCGCTGTTCCCATCACCCAATTCCCCAATAAAATATCTTTAAAAAAAAAGTTAATACACATACTGAGATTTGTTTATTCATGTATTATTGGCCTGATATTTGCCAATTTCCAGGATTGTCTGTCACCAAGGTGTCTTAAGGATACTTGCAAATAATGCCCTAAACACAGCAAAAACATGTTGACTGATAAAGAAAAGGCAGTCACTTCTCTTATGCTCAAGCAATATAAAGTTCAAGATAGTTTCTTTATTCTCCAGTCAAATTAAACAAAGCAAAAATCATTGCAATACTTTATATTTGGTCTCTTCTTTATCCTTTTTGCCCCGCCTTCTGTGTGTTACTTTAGCCTCTAGCCTCCCTACCTAAAAGGGGTGATGGACTAATAGAGCTTTCAGGCCATGCCAGAAAAGAGGCAGATGGAGTTCTTATAGTGAGAGCCTGGCCTACATTTCAATCTCGGCTCTACCACTTTCTAGCGGAATGACCTTGAGCAAGTTACTTAATCTCTGGGTGTATGAGTTTCTTCATCTGTAAAATGGGGATGATAATCATACCAAAGGGGATTTAAATGAGTTACCTGGCACCGTGTAAGGCTCTTAAATAGTGCCTGCTCCGTAGGGACAGTTCAGTAAACATTCGCTGCTGTTACTCTAGTGTGAGATTGTGAATCCCATCCTCCACCAGTATCCGTTCATTTAAAAATCATGTGTGGAATCCCCGCTTTGTGCAGAGCTCGATATTATTAATAAATACTGTAGCTACAGTAATGAACAAGAGCTCTTGCTTCATTCAGTGCTTGATCACCATTTTTGGCAAGAGAGAGGAAGTCACCGACCTGAGAAGCAAAACGTGTATTCAGCTTATCAATATACAGTTGTCAGTAATATCTGAGCAGTCTACCCAGCGAGCTGCTCCAGATGTGTTCAGATGCTTTTGATCCTTTTTGTGCCCTGACCACGTGGTTATTAGCCCTTCCAGCTGGGAGGTCCCGCTGTTTAATTGAACGCAGTGCAGTTGGTGGCTTTCCACACCCACCTACAAATCAAGTGCTTCCCGTTTTATTGATGTTTGCTTTTGGCCCACCGCGCTCTGATTGTGTCCGAGCAGATATTTCTTTCATTAGTTTTCTTATCTGCCCAGCCTCATATGAAGCTGTATATTAATACCAGATAAATAAATATTTAAAAATTTGTCAGAAGTGATGAGGACTTAATAAATCAAATATTAGATATAACCCCTGGATATTAATAAGAATTTGTCGTCATGTGTTTGAGGATAGATACATTCACTAATTGAATAAATATTTATGCAGCATTGTTTCTGGTATCCGTGAAGTTTCTTTCTCAGGCACCTGCTTTTTTCTTTTGCTTCACTTGCTTTTCAGTCACTTTCTTCTATTTCACAGCTTTCTGATGTTTCCAAGCCTTTTCTCCTAAACTAATTTTTAGGGGAAAAAATACAGTAAAATTTTGTTATCATTCACAAGTGTGAGACAATTTGAATTCCTTTTATTGTTACCCATGTGTTTTCTTTCAGACTCTAATTGCTGTCTTTTCTTATGGCTAGCTAATTCCAGTATATAGTTAAGACCTTTCTAAAAGTGGTTATTCCTTATACTAACGCTGTACTAGTTTTATGTTGTGATGGGGCTCCAAATGTCAGCTGCATGTTTTGAAGTTAGCTAACAAGGCCACACTATATATTGCAAGCAGAAGAGGATGGTAGATTCACCTCCTACTTTGTCAGGCCTTTTAATATTTCTGTGGTGTTCAATTTTAGAGAGCTTTTTTAGTCATGATATAATCAGCGCAGTTATGTTTTTAAAATACCTTTTCAGTTTTATTTACAGTGAAAATGATAAACAGAAAAGTTAAAGAATTTCATGTTTTCTGTTTACATGTAAGCAAGGCTTAAAGAAAAATTATTATATCAACAGTTGGTTCCTTCAGGAATTTTGACCCTTGAGAAGGAATTTCCTTTCTTTAAATTACTGTTTTTTTTCCTATACTGTAATATAATTACTCTTTATACATTCGCACCCTTTCTTTAAGAATGAGATCTTAAAATAGGTGTACAAGCTTTTTGTGTTGCTTAATCTGAAATGAAAAGATTAGTTGACGTGAAGGTGATGTGTAATTCAGTCTCAATTTTGGAGCTGGTCTCTTCAGCTTCAGGTAACTCTTTTGTCTTTCAGGATTACCAGTGGGTGTCCAATATGAATGAACTGTGCTGATTTTGAAAGGTGGTATATTATCTTTCAGGATCTGAATTGAGGCCTTCACTTTTATTTCATTCTTGTGCAGCAGGAATAAGTAGGTTTGAAATTCTTTTAAAATGTGTCTTAGCCTCTGAAATGCCTCTTCAATTTGGCCTCTACTTCTAAAAAAAACACATTATTTTTCAAATATTATAATTTATCTAAACTATAACTGAAGTCATGTACTTTACAGCTTAATGGACTCATAATGCATGATTACACAACTTCAGAACGCATTTCGTTAAATGAAGTGGTGACATTTTATGCATTATTAAGTCAGTGCATTAGAATAATTTTCTTGCTCTCAGCTATAACTTCTCTCTGTCCTTATTGAACAGTTGTGGGGCTGTGTTGTAGAAGGTTTGGACAGGACAAGGTGTTTTAAAGATATGTGGAAACAACCTTTTTGCCATTATTTCATCAAGAAAAATAAAACAGACAAAACTTGTGAAATGGGAAAGTAGTTGAAATGCCCCAGTTTGTGTTGTAGTGTATAAATTATATTTATTTAGTAATAGTTGGATTGAAATGCTGAATTTTAAAAGTACAGCCTTATTCCTTTTTCAAAAATACCTTACCAGTTAGGAGTGCATGTGTGAGTATATGTGTGTATAAAATCATTAAGAACTATATTTTCAGCATTTCATGTTTTTGCCATCTTATATATTTAAAGCAGCTTAGGACAGTGGTCCTGTTTTCAGTACAATATGAACACTTATTTCTGCTATTTTTACTCAATAAACCGACGAAAAGAGACTATAAAAAGAGTTTGCTGAGCCTTGGGGGGAATAACCATGATACAAAACTACCCTGAACTATATGATGTGTCATCCTGGGTTTCTTATATGTTGACAGTTTCCCCCCATTCCTGGCTGTGCAAATCTACTTGAAATTATGTGACTTTCCACCCTCAAAGTGAATTACATTTTTTCTTATGATATGTGAGCTACAAAAAATAAAAGTAAGCAAAAAGAATGTAAAATATCATCAATGTTTCCATCTAGTCACAGCTACTGATGTTAACACTTTCCAGACACATTTGTAAACTCATACACCTATCACATTTTTTTCTATATAAAATAACTTTTTACTCTGCTTTTTTCACTTACCATATGTCTGTGTCACCACATGTATTTCTGAATGGCTGTATTTTGTTGTATGCATTCACTGTAATTTGTTTTCATGGTTCTCTATCATTGATCATTTAGGCAGTTTCTAATTTTTTTCTGATTAAAACAGCACAGGAATAAATATCTTTATAGTTAAAATTTTCATTTCTTTATTCAGCTACTGTCTTTGGTATTGGATTCCAACAGGGAGCACAAAACACAAAGTTACTACTCACGTGGAATTGAAATTCTAGCAGGAGAGCAGACGGTAATGAAATAAGTACATTGCTGGGTAGTTTATAACTGCAATGAATACTCTGAAAGAAACGCATACTGTTGTGTGAGAAAATACAGCCAAGGATGTTCACTGGGGTTCAGGGAGACCTCTTGAGGAAGTGCTGCTGAGCTGGAGAGACAGACTGAATGGCATCGTGCAAAGGCCCCTGTGCAGAGGGATCACAGAGTATTTCAGAAATGGAAAAGAAGCCAGTGTGGTACAAATACTGAACGTAGTGGTACAAGACATGGCTAGAGAGGTAGTCAGGGCCAGGGCAGGCTACAGACTTTGATCTTGACCTTAAGAGTCGTAGGATGCCTTTGAAGAGTTGTAAGCCGGGTGTTATATCTGATTGCAGAGTGAACTAACTGGATAGGGAACAGAGTGGGTACAGGAAGATCCGATAGGAGTTTGTTGCAGTGGTTTAGGTAAGAAATGAAAGCTTAGGTTAGGTTGGCGGTGGAAATAGAAGTAGACAGGTTCAAGAGATTTTTAAGAACTAAAATGGATTCAAGTTGGAACATATTCTTAAATTCCCAGAAATGGAACTCTCAGGACAAAGGGCTGAATTATTTTAAAAGCTTATGGTAGATGTCAAATTGCTTTCCAGAAAGATTGTTTCAGTGTACTCTTCCATTACTGGTGTATTAGAGTACTTATTTTCCTACACCTTCACCAACAATGAGCATTAACATTTTTGTTTTTTTCTTTTTAATACTTTTTCCAGAAATTGAGTAAATACTTCAATTTTTAAAATGGGGACTATTTTACCAACTATAATAATATTTTAGTCTTGGAATACAGCTGTCCCCCCATCTACAGTTTCACTTTCTGTGGTTTCAGTTACCTACAGTCAACTATGGTCTGAAAATATTAAATGGCAAATTCCAGAAATAAACAATTCATGGCTTTTAAATTGTGAGCCATTCTGAGTAGCTTGATGAAATCTCGTACCCTTCTGCCCCAGGGATCTTTGTCCAGAGTCTCCAAGCTGTGTATCCTCCCTGCCCATTAGTCATTTAGTAGCTGTCTCGGTCATCAGATCAACTATCGTGGTATCACAGTGCTTGTGTGCAGTCACCCTTATTTTGCTCTAATGACCCAAAGCCATTCACATAATTTTTATTACAGTATGTTGTTAGAATTGTTCTATTTTATTATTAGTTACTGTTGTTAGTCTCTTACTGTGCCTAATTTAGAAATTAAACCTTATCATAGGTACGTATGGATAGAAAAAAACATAGTATGTATAGGGTTTGGTACTATCTGCAGTTTCAGGCACCCACTGGGGGTCTTGGAATGTGTCCCCTGTGGAGAAGGGGGAACCACTGTATATGTTGATCTTCTTATTTGGGCTTTAGAAAGTATAGTTTTGATCCTTAATATTATGCTTCTAAAGCTGAAACTAAAAAAGAATGTAATGAGAACATTGCCCCAGGAATATGGGTGAAAGAAACTATAAGGTAGAGTTACACAAAATTAAGCATGATTGTAAAATTAGATGTTTGTTGAAAATTTTAATAACCCAGCTGTGTTCTGCATAGTCAGTGCCAAGACTCCGACTTTCCCAAACACTGTAATGTGACTCTGTTCTATCACAAGCTTGGACTTAGCGTTTCAAACTGTTTTCAGTAAATATACTGATAAAGAGCCCAGAGGTAGTATATACAGATTTTGACCACAAAGATGAATATATAGAAATGTTTTAAAATTTTTATGTAATGCTTTGATGCTTAATAGTAAGAAGTAAATGATAGTTCGTGTCCCCTCTCCCCTACTTGATAACTTTTTGTCAATATAAGGATGGATGTAACTGAAAGTAAGACATTAAAAGAAATGAGTAACTTTTTAAAAGCCGTTGAAATAGTTTCCCCAAAATAGTTTGTTTGAAAGATATTGACCTTAGATGCACAATAAAAGTTATGTTTGTAATGTCTTTATATTTTTCTCAAATAGGTGCATAATTCTACATTATTGAAATATGGTTACATGTGAAATGACATGTTACTCACTGCCTTGTTTTCTCTCAACAGTTAAAAGATGTCGATACTCAGAAAATCATCAAAGCAATGCTTTCTTATGTGTGGCCCAGAGACAGGCCAGATCTACGAGCTAGGGTGGCCATTTCCCTGGGATTTTTGGGTGGCGCAAAGGTAAGAGTAATGTTGATGTAAGAAAGACTGTGGCATTTTCTAATAATGAAACTTGGGCATTGTCAACTTTTAGGACCCTTATTTACATGACTGTTACACAGTCAGCAGAGATTATATGGTAGTGGCTGCTTTATCTGTGGATCAGACTTAAAACAGCCTTGACTTCATGGAACTCACTCCTGAAGCCAGTCTGAGATGCGGGATCATTTCCTGTAACACAGCACAAGGGACTTTCTAAAAGAGACCCTTAGAGCCCTGTTGGCTCTTATGTAATACATATCTCTAGTAAGCCTGGCTCTCAGTCCCCAGTAAATTGAAGAGGATAGAGACATTTTAGGCACATTGACAGTTATAAGTCAGAAACAACAGTGTGACATCAGGCGAAAAAAAGCGGGACACAAAATGAGCCCCCAAACTAGGCATGTTCGTACCATTCAGCATAGGGGCTCTCTACATCTTAGCAGTCTCCTTAGTTTGTCAGTGTGCTGTAACACATTTGAATAAGGCAAACATATCATAATGACTCTGAGCTTGCAAGAAAAATGCCTGATTTTCAATTCAAAATTTGAAGTCAGTGGAGTATATATCTTTAGATACAGTATAGAGTCATGCTACATACTTGTACCGAGTTTCCCCGAAAATAAGACTGGGTCTTATATAAATTTTTGCTCCAACAATCTATATTTATTCATTTATTCATGTACAAAAATCTACATTTGTTCAAATAGTCATGTCTGGCTGATGATCTTAACTGGGGCTTATGTTTGGGGCAGGGCTTATATTACGAGCATCCTGAAAAATCATGTTAGGTCTTATTTTTGGGGAAACATGGTATATAAGCTCTGGAGTCAGACTTCCTGGGGTCTGCCATGTGCTAATCTTGTAACCTTGGACAAATGAGTTGGTCTCTGTGCTCCACTTTTCCAATTTGTAAAATAAAGTGAAATAGGGCTGTTATAAGGATTAAATAAATGAACACATAAAAGGCTTGGAACAATACCTGGCCCATAGTACAACATAATATACATGCTAAAATAAAATAAATAAATACTCAACAGTATAAATGAGATTTGGCTATACTTTGATTACGTAAGTGTTAATATATTATTTTACAACCAGGTCTTATCACTTAATTCTTCTCTATATCATGTATATTCCCTTTATTTACTCATTCTTCTATCAAATCATACAGGAAAAGACAAGTTTTATTTTATTGTCATAATACCAAGTAGGTCATAGATGATTTAAAAGAAGTTTTTGGGGTTTTAAAGGTACAGGAAGGATATGAGGGAGAAGAGAGGGGAACATATAGAATGTGCACAGGACTGAGTCATTCAGGGAAATTAGAAGTTTTGGGGGATTTCAAAGGACAGAACCACTGATGGGAAGTCAGGAAAGGTTTCACAGAGGACTGTGATGTGTAATCTTGGAAAGATAAATAGAGCTCCTAATGTGAAATACCTTAAGTGTAAAACAGAAATTTATCTAATTATGTGGGAAGCAGGAAACTGGTTTGAGTAGAAGAGAAACAAGGTTAGAGTTGTACTTAAGGAAATGAAGCTGACCCTGTTGTAAGAGACGGATTAGGGTGGCAAGAAACCTAAGGCAACGATACCATTTGTATTCATTTCATGCATTCATTCAGCAAATTTTTATCTCTAGATGAGAAGTAAGAGCAATTTGTACTGGAGTGGTGGTATAAATGGTAACATGGAGGGAAAAGATGGCAGAGATATTGTGAGGAAAGGGAGATAGTCAACAAGACTTAGCAACAAGAGGAATAGGGTTCAAAGCTGACACCAAGGGTGAGAATGGTAATGTCTTCATGGAAATAGGTAGTAAGTCAAGAGGTCTTGTTTGAGAACATGAAAATTTGGGTTTTGCTCATGTTAAGTTTGCGATACTAGTGGAACGTCAAGATAGAGATGTTCAGCTGGTAATACAAAATGGAAGACAAGCTGAGGAAGGAGCTAGAGAGATTAAGAGGTCTTAGCTGGTTTCTCCAAGGAAAAGAACAGAACTAGAAGATGACTACAGACAGAACGTGTGACAAATGCCTTCCTATAGCGAAGTAAATAGTTGTGGAGACACGGAAAGAGTGATTGGAATAAAACCAAAAAACTTCAGACTCCATCCGTTTTTATTTCTTTTTTTCTTTTTTTTATTTTATTCCATCCATTTTCTAGCCTTCTTTCTCATCTATGCACCCCTTCCTTGGGAGGGGACTTCAGTCAGGATACTGAGCAACAGACCAAGAATCCATACTTTATTTGTTTAAGCTGAACGGAGAGAACAATACTACAAATCTAATGTTGAAATGTTAAAAACTCTTAATTTTTAGCACAGTCCTGGTTGCTCAGTTATCTTTTACTTTCAATTTACTTGAGGACAGAGATTATTCTGAACTCTTATGCAAGGCAGAATTAGTAAGTTGGCCTTCATTCCTTCATTAGCTGACAAATTAAAGGCAGATTGTTTTCTGGACTCACTTTTGGATTGAAGAGAACAAGTTAGAACGTGACTAATTAATCTAGTCAAAGAGAGGATTGTTAAACAACAGCATTTGTATTACAGTTTATTTTTAGAGTGAGTCCCAATCCTTCAAATAGAGACTTCAGTTTCTTTGTGACAGCTCACAAACAATATCAGGGTATGAAATCTAGATCAATCTAACTTTCTTAAGGACTGAAACAGTTGTAGAAGGCTAATACGTATTTAATTCTCTCTGTCATCCACAGAATGGAAGGTGCTGTACTAACCTCGTGTAAACTAGTTATAAGTAAACAGAAATGAATATAGAAAAATCAATTCTCAAAAAGTACGTGTGATCCCTTTTAGATTAGGAACAGGAAGAAATTGCCAGATGTTATCATGAGCTCCTGTTCATACTTTCAGAGCATAGAGAACAAGACTTTTATTTTTACTAGACAGGAACTAGACCATAGAATAACTTTGGGAATATACAGCACAGTAGCATCGAACCATTCCTAACACCGTTTTTCCACCTTCGGTACTATCCTCAGCTAAAAGTGATCACTCTCCCAAATCTGTACAACCTGGTCATCACTTATTTTTGAGTAGTATTACAAGTGTGCAAAGATGAATTGTTCTCCCTTTCATTCCTTGGCTTCCTATCTTGTCCTCAACCTGATGACATGCTTTGGCATATCCATACTTTGGACCAATCTATGCCCCTTTCTACTCTGGTCTTCCTTATCTCCTCTGTATACTTCTGGGAACTTTAGGACAGGATTTGGGAATCTTCTCAGCTCTAATGAATGCTGCCCACCCATCTGAATGGTGTGTGGTGATTTCATAATGAGACCTGAGGCATCCATGAGAGAAAATGAAGACAGAAGGAGAAATGTCAAGTGAGAAGGAAAATGTAGGAGGATTTCATGCTTCTTATTTACCTCTTAATGCTTTTTTCATTCTCTGGGTCTTAATGATATGGTCTCCAACAAAGATTTTTAAGATAACCCTCATCATGTAGAGAGGCCTTGCACCCAGATGAAGCCGAGGATGTGTTGGTCTTTCTTTTATCTGTAATGCAGCAATTCTATTATTAATATAATACATTGGGATTCTGCATTATGTATATTTTAGGGGTTCTGCTGCCAAGACAGCGAGAACACTATTAGCCTTCATTTCTTAAATGCATACAGAAAATAGGCAGTGTCTTTTCTTACCATCCAAACATACATACCTTATAGATAGGAGTATCATATCATCATTAAGCTGGGGATTTTGAGATTTTCTAAAGTTTATTTTGATATTATAAAAAGTTTACTCATATTACTAACCACCACCATCTTGGGAAGCACTTAGTTGACAGAGAAATTAGGGTCACAGAAAATTAAAGTATCAAGTACAAATACAAAAAGATATTCTCAATAATCTGTTGAGAATAAGCTCTATTTAAAATTATAAAATAATTTCAAAGGAGAGTGTGATTTATAAAAATATAATCAACACTTCATTTATCTCAGAATGCATTGCATAAAGTATGGGCTAATATTTGTGTCTTAATCCATTTTGGCTGATTTAACAAAAGACCACAAACTGGGTGGTTATACATGGCTTTCTTTTCCTTTTAACCTCACATGATGTAAGGGGCAAGAAGGGTCTCTGGGGACTCTCATAAGGGCACTGGTCCCATTCGACAGGCTCTGTCATCTTGACCTAATTGTTTCCTAAAGGCCTCACCCCATTCCATCTTCCTGGGGGTTAGAATTCAACATATGAAGGGGGGCAGGACACACCCATTCAGACCCTAGCCAACCTGTGTGAAGTGACCATTATGTACAAGGCTTTGTGCTACGCAGCTGGGAATACCAAAATGAATAAAATGTGGGCCTTGCCGTTCTTGAGTGGCAGGGTACTGAAGGAGAAAACTATACAAATAATGATAAACTGTGCATCGCATAATGCAATCACCCTAAGGGAGTCACAGACGAAGGCGTAAGATAGCTCCAGCTATTCGGATTTAGGGAAGCCTTCCTGGAGGCACTAGTTACAAACATCAGGATTCATGCCCTTGTTGCTGAACTTTCATTCTTTACAATTTAATCGAAAACACTTTAAAGATTTTATTGGGGGATTGAGGGAGGGGACCAGCCAAGTTGTTCTTCAGTCTTCGTTGTGGAGGGTGCCTGTCGCCATCTGGCTTCCCGGCGGCAGCTCGTGGCCTCTAAGCTCAAGATGCTGTGTTCAATCTTACTTGTGGGTGGGCATAGCCATCATCCTATGCGGGAGTCGAACCTGGCAGCCTTGTTGTTAGGAGCGCACGCTCTATCCACTGAGCAATCCGGGCAGCAGCTCAGCTCAAGGTGCTGAGTTCAGTCTTAGTGGTGGGCGGGCATAGCCCACCATCGAACTGGCAGTCTTGCTAGGAGCACGTTCTCTCACCAGCTGAGCCATCCTGCCACCTGTTAGCAGCTCGGCAGCAGCTCAGCTTGGGCACAGCTCACTGGCCCATGTGGGAATTGAACCAGTGACCCTGTTGCTCAGATCTGCCACTCTTAACCAACTGAGCCACTCGGCCGGCCCTATTTCAGTGTTTTTGTTAAGCCTTCTACAGTTGTTTTCACATGTTATTAATGTGTATGAATTTAATTTCTTCAAAAACGTTGGCAGTCTGACCAACTTCCTGTTCCTAAATGATGGCTGATGTTCTTGATACTCTAACTTTGCAAAGAAATCTGAGCGATTGAATATTTGCCTTGAAATATATGAAAGCATTATATCCCTAATTTTCATATTTTTGGGGTATTCTCATAGAGAAATAAGTTGGTTTTTGAAAGTTACTTTGGTATTCAGGGTTTTATTCTGTATGGCATTGGAGAAAGTAATCTTTTGTGGGGCAAATGGATGTAGCAGTGTTGTTTATTTTTCCAGTGGTGAATCAGCTACAGATACTTGTAATTGATTTGCCTTTGAGATCCCTTTTGCTAAATAGTTTCATTCAGTTTACCATATTGTGATGAATGAATAATTTTACATTTATTGAATACCTATTATATTCAAAGCATGGTACTCAACATGGTAGGACAAAAAGAAGAATATGATACAGACCATTGAGGATCTAGTAGGCAGGCAAAATACACCAATAACTATATTATAAAGCAGTTTGCTCAAAGTGCCATGAGCTCTGTGGGATATCAGATAATGGAGGCAGAAGCATTCGACTAATGCACACAGCTTGTAAATGCTTATTAACATGGCAGCAAGGTGGGAATCATGAAACGGCAGCTCTTCCAATGCCGATGATTTTATCTTTAGAAACTGGGAAAATCATTCCACTAGCAGTAAATGGTTAATATTGAAGCATTCTCTTCAATACTCGTTTAAGGTAAATATTTGTGCTTTGATAAAGAAATGTTTTACACACGATGGGTAATCACTGCTTTTGTATTTTCAGGCCATGAACATTGTGGTTCCCTTCATGTTTAAGTATGCTGTAGACAGCCTCAACCAGATGTCAGGAAACATGCTGAACCTGAGTGATGCACCAAATACAGTTGCAACCATGGCAACGGCGGTTCTGATTGGCTGTATGTGTGATTTTTTAATCTGTCTACAGGTGTTGACTTTCTTCAAGAGGGTTTCATTGTATTTGAGGAGATGACCTTTTCACTACAAACACAACTTAGCATTTTGAATATTTATTGTTTTATATGAGATTTTTTTGATATGTGGTTAAAAAATTTTTTTATATGATATGCTTTCCAAAAATTCTGTTAATAGCAGTGTCATTTTCCAAGTTCTACAGAATAATAACATGAAATAAGATATTAAATGTTTAACAACCATTTCTAATAGTTAGGCTCTTTATAAGTTACCTTTTCAGTAAGGCTATTTATTTTCTTATTGTTGTTAGTTGTTAAATAGGAAATAGCTAAACAATGTTATATGTGCATTAATGCTTTATTAAATCGCATTCAATAACCATGACCCAAATGTATAGTTTGTAAAGAAGAGAATGTGATGCTTTGTGTCCCCATGTATTAGAAAGGACAGTTTATGTATGACACTCAGGAGGCTTGAATGGGGCTATGCCTTAGCCAATGCACTTGCTTTTTCAGGATCTCAATTTTATCATTTGTTATTTGGGAAATTGAATAAGATGTAAGAACCTCAACAGAGACTATACATTCATCCACAATAAGGCTGCATGGGCTGTTTGTTATTTATTAAAAGTATGTCCTTTGGAACCCATGGGGGAAAAAGACGGAAAGGGACCCATGGTGCTGGAAAGAGGGGTACTCACTCACTAGGCTAGCTGTTTTCTAGGTTTCTTTAGTGTAAGTACTCAGTGATATAGTCATTCATTGTACAGACACTTTCTGAGCCTTTACCATTATTACACTCCTATGAGTCTAATATGTTCAAACCCATTTTTTCTTTTGAATGTATTGCTAGATGGTGTATCAAGAGCCGGAGCCGCCTTTTTTAATGAAGTTCGAAATGCAGTATTTGGCAAGGTAGCCCAAAATTCAATACGAAGAATAGCCAAAAATGTCTTTCTCCATCTTCACAACCTGGACCTGGCTTTTCACCTGAGCAGACAGACAGGAGCTTTATCGAAGGCTATTGACAGAGGGACAAGGGGTATCAGTTTTGTCCTGAGTGCTTTAGTGTTTAATCTTCTTCCAATTATGTTTGAGGTGACTCTTGTCAGTGGTATTTTGGTAAGTAAAACGTTTTTCGTAACAACTTTTTATCTTACATTCTCCTTAGTAGCTATTTACTACTTGAAGCTATTGTGGTATTGTATGCCCGTGGTTTGAAAGCAAAATTCCATGGTGCCAGAGGGTTATGCAGTTTCTTTGATTATTTTGCCAGAAGCTTCAGGGACTGTCCAAAATCTTTTGCATGTTGTTATTGTGAATAGCTGTTCGGTTCTACACCTAGATCAGTCATTTAGCTAGTGCTTGCAATTTTTTTGATAGAAAAAAATTTGTTTTAAAGATTTTATTGGGGAATTGTGTGAGGGAACAGCATTGGGGAATTGGGGAAGGGGAACAGACAAGTTGCTGTCCTTTTGTTCTTCAGTCTAGTTGTGGAGGATGTCACTTCACTGGCCCATGTTGGTATTGTGATCATTGCGCTCTTCCTGACTGAGGCAGATTGGTTGCTGGCCATTGGACGGCCGCTCACAGCGGCTCACGGCGGCTCATGGTAGCTTACGGCAGCCCACTACAGCCTACGCCATCGCCAGCGACTCACGGCAGCCCAACTCCAGGTCGAGCTGTTATTCATCATCTTAGCTGTAGAGGGCGCAGCGTCACTGGCCCTCATGTGGGATCTGAACCGAGGTCCTGCTGCTCAGAGCTGGCGTCCCAAGCCAACTCTTAACCAATGCACCACTCGGCCGGCCCTGGTAGAGATTTTTGTATAGAACTTTGGACTGGTATGGTCAGATTATCTGGTTTTGTGTTCACCATTCATAACATTTTAGGTAATTTCATGTTTTATAATTAAAGGTGGATATATGCATCTTGATTCCTTTCATGGCTCTTTGCACTATTATTGTCAGTATTTGACAGTAGTACCAATGTGGCAAGTACTGTTTGGCTTTCTTCCCTTTTTACCTAAAGTAGATTTTTGAAGCTATTTGATTTGTTACATAATTATTCATTTATTCACCAACATATATTTTATTAAAATCTTTTGACTGAGTTTTGCTGTTGTATATTACAAGCTATCTGACAAGAGCAAGGACCGTTTTTCATTTCTTCCCCCATTATATAGTTTGATTTATTTTTTGTCCTCAAAACTTGAGAAGCTATAGATTGTGTATGTATTATTTTAGTAAACACTATTGTAATTTAACACGCATAAACAGCTATATATTTTTTAAAAGTGTAATTCAGCAACTTTTATACCCCTGAGTGGGATAACCATGGCATATGTACTACTCATTGAATTAACTTGCTCTTCTCCATTTTAATTTATTTTTTAGTTTCATCCAATCCTTTTACTGTTTCTGTTCTTTCTTTATTCCATATATCTCAGGATTCTTTTGTGATCAGAGGACTTCCTGTAGCCATTCCTTTAGGCTGGGTCTGCCAACAACAAATGCCTTTAGTTTTGTTTGAGCCTTTGGGGTGTAGAATGTGGCGTGACAGTTCTTTCCTTTCAGCAGTTAAATCATGTTAGTGCCACTTCCTGTGGCCTCCACGGTTTCCTATGAGAAATGCACTGCCTCTTTTGCCTCTCATTTCTCCCTTTGCCTTGTCCAGTATTACAGATGCGGCGCCCAGTTTGCCTTGGTGACCCTTGGGACGCTTGGGGCGTACACAGCATTCACAGTTGCTGTCACCCGGTGGAGGTAAGGTAGTCCCCTTGCGCCAGCTAAGATCCAGAAGTTATTATAGTTCTGCTTTTCTAGCGAACGTTTCACGCCTATGCAAATCTTTGTGTTCCAGAACTAGGTTTAGAATAGAAATGAACAAAGCAGATAATGATGCCGGTAACGCCGCCATAGACTCGCTGCTGAACTATGAAACTGTGAAGGTAATATGTTTACTAGACTTTCCTCACGCCACACTAAGGCTCGCTCTGCCATTGAACGTGCTAGGTGCTGTCAGTTAGAGCTTCAGGTTCAGCTCGTATCTGCAGGTGTGATGGAATTGTGGTACTCTCTTGTTTTCCTTTTGTTTACAAGTTTGTTTCCACCAGTTTTTTGTGGTATCATCAGAATTTTACCTTCTGACTTAATTTATGAGTAACGAGTGAAGTTAGCATTTTCATTCAGGATGAACGCTGACTTCCTAACCTTCTAAGTGCCTGGCATTGTGCTTTCCTTTCATGTATGTGTTCTCTTTTCCATTTAACAATGTTATTGAACGCCCCTTGTGTGCAAAGCACTATGCTGAGTCCTGTGATGAAGGATGATGGTAAAAAGAAAATGCTTCATATTTAATCCTTGCCCTCCCAGAATTTGCTGATCTGTTGGGGCAGTTGATGTAAGTGTGCAGGTGACCCTAGGCCAGTGTATTGAAAGTTGCTTGTTAAAGTGGAGTGTGTCTATGCATGAAGTCTGATGAAAAGGATGCTGATCACTTAAGAGAATAATTTCTAGCTATACTTGTATGTAGTTACTATTTTTGTATATTTTGTAGTATTTTAATAATGAAAAGTATGAAGCACAAAGGTATGATGGATTCTTGAAGACATATGAGACTGCTTCGTTGAAAAGTACCTCTACTCTGGCTATGCTGAACTTCGGTCAAAATGCTATTTTCAGTGTTGGTTTAACTGCTATAATGGTGCTGGCCAGTCAGGGAATTGTGGCAGGTAATGGATCTGTGGGTTTCACATTATTGATGTTTTACTTTATAAATGAAGATCCTTGAGAGAAATGTGTACATTAGTCTTAATTATAGAGCGACTTCAATGATGTGCTTTAACGTCATTCTAGTACTTTCCTTTTTGTATCAATGTATCAATGAAAACATCACTGTATGATGTTTTCTTCCTTCCTTTTGTTTAACATGACAAGTTTAGCGCTGGGATTACTGGTTATATTATATTTTACATTTTGTGGGGCTCAGTCTGATTCTTTTAGGAGTAACTTTTTCTTTTTTGGCATTTAATATTTCTAATTTCTCTTATAGACCTGAAAGGCAATGGAATTAATTTAGTGTATACTGCAAAGGACTAAAACTCAAGCATTCTTTTTTTAGAATTACTAGTAACCTTTTGTTTCTATTAGTTTTACATTTGCAAAACATTTAAAAAATAAATAATATCTGTGCCCTTTTTTTGTTACCTGCCCACTAAGTTAGGATTCATTCCTTCACTGTGACCTTAATACATGGTTTATCATATTCAATCATGATACCCATTTGCCCCAATTTTTTAATATACACTTTTTAAAAATTTCTATTTTACATTACAAAGAAACTACCTAGTGTCTTAAGAAGAAAGGAGAGATTTTTAGCCTTCCATTTCTGTCCTCACTTAAACCATTCTATTTTTTTGCATATTGTATATAGTGTATGGGTGGACTTTTCCATTCTACTTAGCATATCAAGTGTTCCTAAATCATGGATTAAAATGCTTTGAAATTTAAGTAGTCATAAGAGTTGCTGATTTTGTATAGTTTGAACTGTATTCCAGAGCAATAGACTAGAAACTTCTCTATCTTAAACTGGAAATGTTTATAACATCTAAAATATCCTTTTTTTTCTTTTGCCAACTGCACATTAAGGTACCCTTACTGTTGGAGATCTAGTAATGGTGAATGGACTGCTTTTTCAGCTTTCGTTACCCCTGAACTTCCTGGGAACTGTATATAGAGAAACTAGACAAGCACTCATAGATATGAACACCTTGTTTACTCTACTCAAGGTAGACACCCGAATTAAAGTAAGTAATTTATTTGGTGCCTTTTTAAAAGCATGTGAACTTCATCTCACTAATAGGATTATTATAGGGGAATTTTCTTACATCACCATGTTAGCACACCAGTTTCTTCTTTGCAAGAATTGGAACTGTCAATCATGTGTATTCTTTGGAAACCTTACTTGTTAGCAAAGAATATTATATGTAGAGGGTAAATTTTGTTAACTTGAATTATTTGTACTTGCACTTGATTTACTTTTGCTAATCCGGATATAAAATGTGTGGTTGCCTCTCCTCACATCCTCAACCTCCTTACTCCTCCGTCTACCATCCCTCTACCTGCCACCCCAAAGCTCAGATATGAAAGCAGCCAGGATTTTTTACCTTAGCAGTGAGGAGTGAAAAGATAAATCTTTAAAAGCATGCCTGGAAGTGGTCTAAGTCCACTTATAAACCTCCTCCTTCCGCATTACTTTCCTTTTTCTCTCTGTGAATTAAAAGATTATCTCTACAGCTGTACTCTAGGCGGTATATAAAGTTGCATTTTTTTCTCTTCTCTGCTAGGACAAAGTGATGGCATCTCCCCTTCAGATCACACCACAGACAGCTACGGTGGCCTTTGATAATGTGCATTTTGAATACACTGAGGGGCAGAAAGTTCTTAATGGAATATCTTTTGAAGTCCCTGCAGGAAAGAAAGTGGCCATTGTAGGAGGTAGTGGGTCAGGGTGGGTAATTTAGTTATTTATAAAATTCTGCATTGATGAATGAGTCCCAATGTGATATTCTTTCTTCATCACAATAAAATTACTACTGTGGTGTAAAATAGGGGTTCCCTAATGGCAGTAGGAGCTAAAAACCTTTCCTTGTTTGCAATTTTAGGAAAAGCACGATAGTGAGGCTATTGTTTCGCTTCTATGAGCCTCAGAAGGGTAACATTTACCTTGCCGGTCAGAATATACAAGATGTGAGTCTGGAGAGCCTTCGGAGAGCAGTGGGAGTAGTGCCTCAGGTAATGAAATGAATTCAAGGCATTAGGTCCTCCAGATCAAAATCTGTTACCAAAAAGACTATTAAAAAAAAGTTAATGAAAGATCAGCATGATGGAAAGATTTTTTAAGCCTTGGAAAAATAGCATAACATAGAGGAAAGAGCCCAGACTGGAGTCGGACAGAACTGGATTCTGACCCCAGTTCTAACCCTTGTAAGTTCTGTGGTCTTGGGCCTCAGTTTCTTCATCTGTAAAATAAGGTTGCCATTTCTCTTATAGGATAGAATTATGGATTAGAGAGATATGTGTAAAGCATCAGGCACAATTTCCATTACACAATTGTTCAGTAAATGAAAACTATTGTAATTTTGAACAGTTTTTGACAGGGAATTTATAAAAAATGACAATGCAGGTTGGCTGCCGACTGCAAGTTTGTGTGCCTTGTTCCCCACTGTCCCCTCAGTCCCACACCCAGTTCCTGACCCATAGTAGCATTTAATGAGTATTTGCTGAATGACTTTAGGGGGGAAATAAATTCGGAGTAAGCTAAAAAGACAAGAAGGAGATAGCTTTGTAGGATGTGAGTTTTTCTTATGCGGAAAGCCAATAGAGAGACTTGGGAATTAGATGCAGCCTAGAATCCGAATCAAATCCCCGGAGACCTGTAAAAAAGGGATCAGACATGAATGTGTAGCTTATAAACCGTCCCCAAGTTATCTGACACATGTTACTCTGCTCTGTCCTTCCTCTCACGGAGAACCCCAAATGCTAGTGTACATGAATCAAATCACCTAGGGAGATCATTGAAATCCCCACTCTCTTTCACGCACCCCAGTTCTGCTTTAGGAGGGCAGCGTGGGGCCCAGAAATCTTCATTTCTGAATATGCTGCCTAGGTGATTCTCATACAGATGATTCGTAGACTGTTGGGAAACACTGACCTAAATTGTGTATCAAGTGAACCCAATTCTGGGCTGTGCCTACTTAGGACTCAGTGTCTTAATCCATGTAACTAGGTATGACTAGATTCCTGCCCTTGTCTTGTGAAAAAGAAAACATTTTATTCACTAAAGAAAAATAGGAAAGGAAAGAAAAGGTGATCATTTGCATTGCTAGTCTTAGCAAAATAAATCAAATAAAATTGGATACCACTTTTCACTTAGGAGATTGGCAAAGATTTTAAATTTCATAGCATGCAGTTTGGGCAGGGCTGTGTAAAATGGCTTTTTTGCTGGTGGAAGCATACAGGTTTCCTGCTAGGCAAATTGACAATTTGTATCAAGAGCCTGAAAAACATTCATACCCTTTATTCCAATAATTCTGCCTCTAGGAAGTTTTAGTGAGGAAATAAACAGATGTGAACAGATTTTTATATGCACAGATATTCATTATAGCAGTATTTGTAATAGCAGAAGTTGGAAACAATATAAATGTCCAACAATAAGTAGAAGGTTAAATTATCATCATAGTATCATATATACAGCCATTTGTAAATATCGTGCTTGTAAAGAATACTGAGTGTTATGGAAAAACACTCAGGTACAAAGTTTGTTGAAAAAAAGGATACCAGAGAAAAACATAATATCCTTCCAATTTTATAATATTAAATGAATACATGTCAGTAGAGAAAAAAGGAGAAAAATTTTGGTTAACAGTAGTTATGGCTGGATGGTAGGATTATGGTTAATTAATTTTTATTTCACCATAGTTTTTGTATTTTCAAGAATTCCAGTTACCATTTGTTAACTTTTTTCTGAATATAAAATGTTTAAAAATAAATATTTTCATTCTAAAAAAATGTGTATTTCATAATAAAAAATAATTTAATTAAAAATAAATAAATAAATAATAATAATAAATAAATATTTTCTCTTTATAGAACATTTATCTCATTGGGTTTAAGTGCCATGTCAATAAAAGGATATTCTATTATTAGTAGTGGGTGTATAAATGATTAAAATATTATTTGAAATAATAACTAACTCTGGGGCTGCAGAGGGTATGGAGACTTGGCACCTTCATACACTATTGGTTGGAATGTGTACTTGTCAGAGCAATTTTGAAAGACAGTTGGGCAATACTTTTGATAGATAAACATGACTTCCTTTCAACTCATCACTCTAGTTATAGGAATCCTTCTTACAGAAATACTTGGGCACACAAAGTCATATATACGATGCTATTTTATTCCAACATTCTTTGTAATAGCAAAAATTTGGACACTACATTAATGTCCATCAATAAAGGTATGGATAAATAAATTAGAATATATCCTTAGTATTACACAATTGTTAAAAAGAATGAGGTGGGTTTCTGTCACCGGCACGTACAATCTCCAGGATATGTTAAGTGAAAAAAGCAATTTGCAAAATGGTACATATAGTATAGCCCCACTTGTGTTGAAACAAAAGTGTATGCTTAGGCATATAAATGCAGCAGAAAAAGTCTGGAATGATACACAACAAATTGTTCATGTTCCCAAATTGTTCTGGGAAGGGCTGACGGGTCACGAAAGGGGTTAATATCATGGTTTCCCCCTTCTGCTATCATGTCTTTACTGTTGTTGTAATTTTTATAATGAGCATAAATGTATATGTCAATGTGCTCCAGGATGCCGTCCTCTTTCACAATACCATTTACTATAACCTCTTATATGGAAACATGAATGCCTCACCCGAGGAAGTGTATGCAGTGGCAAAATTAGCTGGACTCCATGATGCAATTCTTCGCATGCCATATGGATATGACACCCAAGTAGGGGAACGGGGACTCAAACTTTCAGGTAATCAGAGATTTTTTATCTGCTCCCCACACTTGTATTTATCAGAGCCATTTTCTAGAAGGATTTCAAACTCACTGCTCATCCAGGTGCTTTAGACAAGGTCCCCAATCTCCTTTCCATCACCATGAACATACTAAAAAGAACCGTTTTCAAGGCATGCAAGTCTTTTTTGTTCACTTGCAGCTGCAAACGTGAGTGCTTAATAGTAAGTTATGGATATATGCTCAAATCACTGTTAACTTATCCATATTCTAATATTAAAGGAAAGCCAAGATCATTATTCACCTGGGAAAGCAGGAAGAGTACAGAGAAGTAATTTGACAGTAAATAGTGTATCTCATCCTAATTTCCTAGATCATCATGGGATGTTTTCAGTACTTTACACCTCCTTGTACTTGACATGCTCTGCTTCTTTTCTTTGTAACTTACTTTCCAATTACAGTTGACGTACAATATTACAGTAGTTTCAGGTGTACAATGTAGTGGTTGGACATTTATACACCTTTTGAAGTCATCACCCTAATACCTCCAGTACCTACCTGGCACAATACACTTAACTGCTATCTTTTCCTTACAGCCAATTTCATTTTCACAACCTTGTTGATTCAATGGTCAAGTAAATTTGGGGGCTTGTACATGTCTATTTAAGTGTTTAATTGTGAGATGGATAGGTTAATAATGAGTTATCCTAAAGTGACTGACTTTTTTGGAGGCTCCATAAGTATGTTTCTTTGCCCCAAATTATTTGAATTCTAAAGTATACTGATATCTAATGCCTGAAAGTATTAATGCCAGTCATATAAGCATATGACATCCTTTACATTTGTTCATTCTAGTTTAGTCTGGGGAGGAAATGTCTAGGTTAGGGATGGGAGGAAGGCAAAAAGGGAATGATTTGAATGAACCCCCATTCCTCGTTACAAACTAGCTTCATTGATTCACAACATTGATTAGGGACATACTATGTGCAAGCTACTATGCTAAATGATTTGAGAGTTAAAAAGACTTGCTTGACGCAGGGTTGCCTCAAACCTTCAATTTGTAAAAAAAGCAGTATCTGAAACACTAAAGTGAAGCACAATGGAAACAAGCATAGTTCTGTGTAAGACTGATGACCTTAGACCTACAGAAATCCCTGTGATGAAAGGGAGATTGCTTTATTTTCACTAGAGAGTATTTCGGAATAAATGTGAGCTTGTACCTTGTGATAGGAAGTCAGTTAGGCCTAGTCCAGCTTGTGCTGTGACCTTGAGCAAATCACTTAACCTTTCTGGACCTCTGTTTCCTTTCTGTTTTAGAATTCGGTTATGCTAGAGAGCGAATAGCAAATAGCTAAGCTGAAATAAGAGGTGTCTGGTATATACCCTTAACTTTGAAGAGTGTTGTGAAAATAATAGCTTTCTGTCAAAAATACTTAAGAACACTGGCTGAATGGTACTTTTTTATGTTGAGATAAATGTAGATATTTATAGTTTCATGTCTTTAGGTTTTCAGGTTTCAGATATTGAATTTGTGGCATTGTCAATTCTGTAATATTGAAATTTTTCTGTCTGAGATTGCCGTTCATTGGGAAGTACTATAAAGTACATATAAAGTAACATGTAGTAAACATAATTCTGGTGAGAGGAATAATTGTGGAATGAAAATAGTTACCTCTTCTTCATATTTTCACCTGCCATGAAGTCAGAATCCAGAATTACATTTATTTTCCAAGGAATATAGCTTGTCAAAGGATATGCTATGAGCTTAGACTCTTACAACACAGTAAAACGAGCGATGATCTATAGAGGTAAATGTTAAAGGTATTACTTGGTGGTTATACTCAATGGAAATGCTAGAAATACTGAATATGCCTTTTTGCTGTGCTTCCTTTAACTAAAATTTTTCTTTACCAGGAGGAGAGAAGCAAAGAGTAGCCATTGCAAGAGCCATTTTGAAGGACCCTCCAGTCATTCTCTATGATGAAGCCACTTCATCATTAGATTCAATTACTGAAGAGGTAAATGATGGTGAATACACAAATCTCTTCATCTCACAATGCCTAATGTTTCTCGTTGGAAGTTTCAGTAAAATGGCTACATCCTTTTGGATTTGAATGAACTTAAGTAGGAGGTGCTGTAAAAATACCTAGCCCTCTTTCCCCTTATAGAAAGTGTTGATGGTAAGAATGCCAGGTGGTTAAGTCCGTTTGCAAACATGTCTGCTTTTGGAACTGTGTGACACTGTGTATTACCCTTGCATCTTGCAAAGATGTAGGACTTGCGTAATCTGCTGACAAAGGGAGAAGGTTTGTTTTTCTGCAATTGCTACTTAATACCCATTCAAACAAGTGTGTGGAGCAAGTCACTAAGGTGCAGGTCAGGCACATAGCCAGCAGTATCAGTGTATGTCATGTTAACAACATCTTGGTATTAAATACTGAAGCCGTGAAGGAATCCCCTGACCTACAGCTGCAGACAGGCACATGCTATTTGTCAGTTGCTTCTGTTCCGCTACATTTTACTTGAATATGTAGTCAAAGCCTGGTGTTGAAAGATAGGCCTAAGTCTAGTTTCATAGCACATATGACACACGTAAGTAACATTCAGGGCACATTATTCCAACTGCCCTCTGTTTAAAACAGTTTAATTTCTAAGTTAATTGTTTAGCACAAGCATCTGTTATATTTACAGGGACCCTTAAGCAGGATGAGTGTAGCATCTGCTTATAAGAACTTTTTACCTACAAATGTGTCTTCCACATTTACCACAATTTAAAAGTCCTAATAGCCATTATTTGAGGTACAGAACTTTATTATCCCAGAGATAATAACACATTAAGAGGTAGCAGAGATCCCCAAGGGAATGACTTGCTAGCAGATTTGGTAAGGAGGAGGAGTCCCCACAAACATCACAGATTTTCGTAGTAAAATACAAGGACTTCTTTTCCTGGGTAACCATCTACTTGGGATAATTTCATTTCTTTCATGAATACAGTGTCTAGAAATACATGTAGGAAGCTATTGGTATATCTGCATCCCCACACTATTTCCATCTAGCTAGCTGTGCTTGCACCCAGGGTTCCAAGTATAGCTGTGTATATATACAATTCTCTTACACGTTACAGATAAACAAAAATATATTTTGCAGAATGCATTCAGAAGTCAGAATGCTTTTGAAAAAGAAGCTTCATCAAGCGACACATACACAGTTGGCTTTGTCATCCTTTCTGTCCTGAGTTTGAACTCAGGAAAGGCAAATGCTCCTGTACCCTTTTGTCTCCTGTCTTTCTCTTGATTTTTTTCAGTTTCTCTGCATCCTACCACTTGAGTCTATCCTCACTTCATCTGGCTCTCATTGGCCAGATAAGGAGCAGTATCACTGGATTCATTGTCGTGGCTTATTTGTTTGTTTTTAAGTATAGAAAATATGCACCATCCCCCAGACTTTGTAATTTAAAGAAACGGTGCCTAATCTTTTTTTTTTTTTTTTTAGCTGAGCCATCCTGCTACCTGTTGGCTGCTCAGCTCAGGCTGGACTCGAACCGCTGTTGCTCAGAGCTCAAACTCTTGAGCAAGCTCTTAACCAACTGAGCCACTCGGCCGGCCCGAGATGGTGCCTAATCTAAAGATCATTGTATTCCATGATAATGTGATCATGTTTGCTTTCACTTTTCGAGTGATTTTCTCCTCTTCTTAGTAATTATTTGATTAGGTCAAATGTTTGGTAGTGGTAGAAAGTTTATATAATACAAAATTAGTTGGCATTTTATATGTTCCATTAAGGGATGTACAATTACTTTAATTTGCATTTCCCTAGTAGGCAGATCTTTTTCCCTCCTATTCTTCTTGTTGTCTACCTTGCAGACTATTCTTGGAGCCATGAGGGATGCAGTGAAGCACAGAACTTCTGTTTTCATCGCACACAGACTTTCAACAGTGGTCGATGCAGATGAAATCATTGTCCTGGATCAGGTGGGACCTTGAGCTTCACAGTTTATTGCGGGGAGTTGTTACAAATGCAAGGAACTTAAGTGTTTTTTTCTAAAGAAATATAGGCTTTGTGTTCTCTGAATGAGGTTGAATTCTGAAAGCATTCTGTTTCTGCCTCCTTTTGATAAGAAATAATGCATGCTACATCCAAGAGGGAATAAACTGTATTAGCTCACTCTTTATTAATGTATTAAAAGCAAAGTTAGATCAGAAAAGCATTAAATCTTCATGATAGAAGCAGGTCGTAAAGGGTATGTGTGTGTGTGTATAAATTAATTTTTCTGCATTAATTTTTGCTCTATACAGAATTTTTGCTCAGTGTCTTTAATGTATTTCATATTTTCATTTTCTTAATAGCTGTGCATGCCCTTGTCTAAAACAAAATTATCATAAAGTGGTCATTTCTAAACATGCCCATTTTTTATCTTTTTTCTCATGGGGAAAGTAAGAAAATGGACAGCCTGCTTTATCTCTTCTGAGGGAATTGCTATAAGAGTGTTCTAAATAAATCAGAGTGCCATGTTATGATTGGCACATTTGAAAACTATACTAGTTTTCCTTTTCTCCTTTCTGTAAGTACTTCTCCCCAGTCCTTGATATTTCTAACATTGTTCAGCTTTTCACCTCCTATTCAGCCTTTTATATGATTATCTTTCTCTGATAGTAAATAAACATTCAATTCTTTATCATTTTAAAAGCCTGAGTACTGGGAGTTAAGGCAGAAGAGGCACTCTCATATATTTTCTATATTGGATTATTGAGAGAGAATTTTTCACACCATTAAAATTTCTCATGTGGTGTTCAGTTCTGTGGTGTATATATTATTTCCTTTATAAGTTACCTGTGTACTTGGCACCCTACGTCTTTTTGTTGGTTTGTGCACAAATGCCAATATCCATTAGAAAATAAACTGATTTCTTTCAGTATGACTGTACCAGTATGTCTTAAATGGGAAATTTTGTAAATATACTTTATTATTTCATTGATGTCCAAGAATCTGAAATAAAACCTGCTGTTTTACACTTTTTACTAAATTTTCCAATTGTATGCAGTCGTGCAAATTGAGCCTTTTATTATAAATATAAAAAGGCATGTGCTTACCTCCCTCGTGCCATGGGGGTCACAATATCTGTAGTTAGATCACAGCATTGCCACCTGGGCTTTGGATTCTAACTGGAGCTAATTTATTAATGATTATAGCACCTATATCTAAAATCTCTTTATAATTTCATGGGTCAATAATTGCTTGATTATGAAGATCACAGATTATTATTTTCTAGTAAAACTAATATGACTTTGTTCTGTCAGCAGTCTCTTGTAGTATTAATGTTAAGTCTAAGTCTACAATTTCACTCCTGGGTATTTATCCAGAGAAAACAAACACTAATTTGAGAAAATACACACATCCCTGTATTCACTGCAGCACTATTTACAACAGCCAAGATATGGAAGCAACCTCAGTGCCCATCAATAGACCATTGGATAAAGAAGGGTGGTACATTTACATGATGGAATATTACTCAGCCATAAAAAAGAATGAAATCTTATGATTTGTGACAGCTTGCATGAACCTAGAGGGTATATAATGCTAAGTGAAGTAAGACAGAGAAAGACAAACACTGTATGATTTCACTTATGTGTGGAATCTGAAAAAGCAAAACAAATGAACAAATAAAAACAAACAAAACAAAATAATAACAGACTCATAGAAACAGAGAACAAACTGATAGTTGCCAGAGGGGAGGGGTATGGGGTATGGGGATGAAATCGTATTTAATAAAAAGAAACTAACTGCATAACAAATTGATAACATAACCATGCAGAAGAAAAATAGATTTAATTTAAGTAACTTTTAAAGATATCACTCTGATTATTTACCCTAGTGGAATATAGTATAATATAAGGACATGAATAACTGAAAGAAAATTTGAACTTAATTTGTTGTTGGTAGTAGTATGAGAGTAGCCATTTTGAAACTTTTATGTATATGGTAAGACTGAGCATATGAGTAAGTATATTGATATTGTTGGGAGACAGAGGTCTTACTTAGGAGATGAAAGATACAAATACAGAATGGGAGAAGAACAGGAGGACCCTTGTGGTGAGGTACTGGAACAGAATTACCAATATAAATTCAGGGTAAAAAATAAATTCCTAACTCTATTCACTGGAAAGGCCTAGAAACAATAAACATAACCAGCCTGTAGGTCTTGGGCCCTAAATGCTGTTTCTCATTAAGACACATGATGAAGAAATGATACATTTAGAAAATCACATTTTTCAACAACCACTGTAATAATTGATTTAGGTAAGGAACATCATTGGTTGCTAAAACCACACAGTGAAAAAGAATTGGGGAATAGAAAATTCACAGTTTGAAAGTTTAACCTATAGATTACTTATTAATTACAAAGAGAATAAGTACGTTTAAAATAGAGAAATCTGGTAGACACTACCTTAACCAAGTGATCAAGCTTAATATTAATTGTGGAGCAAATTGACATCACATATCTCCTGATGTAATGTACTGAGAACACATCATCACCTATATAATATTTCTATCAAAAAACATTTAGCTTGGATCTAATAATCAGGAACAGCTAGACAAATACAACGTGAAGGGCATTCTTTCAAAAACAAGCCTGGATGTTTTAAAATGTCAATGTCACACACACCCACAAAAACTAGGACACTTAAATGTGTTGATCCTGATAGGATCCTGGATGGAAAAAATATATGTAAAGAACATTATTGGGACAGTGGAGGAAATATGAACTCTGTTACATAAATTTCTTGACTGTGATAACGTTGTATTCGAGTCACATAGGAGAATATTCTCGTTTTTAGGAGATGCATGTTACTGAAATATTTAGAGGTGAGATGTAATGATGTCTGCAACTGATTCTCAAATTATTTAGCAAAAATAGTATAAACTTAGAGGGTGAAGAGAGAGAAAGCAAATATAGAAAAATTGACAGTTGCTGAACTAGGAGAAACATGCACCATCATTGTTGTTATTCTTGCAACATTTCAAAATTTAAAATGAGGGTGGTAAATAAATACTGAACAAGAGATTTTGGAAATGAAAAATGTCGTTACTGAAATAAAGACAAGGAAATTTCCAAAGAGTAGAACAAAAAGAGAGAAAATGAAAAGATAAGAAAATGAGATAATTAGTCTAAGACAGCAGTTCTCAACCTGTGGGTCGCTACCCCTTTGGGGGTCGAATGACCCTGTCACAGGGGTCGCCGGGTACTCATATGTGGGCGTATCTGCATGTGGGCCTGGAGACGGATAGAGGAGCGATGTCTCGGTTCCTAAGACCATCAAAAATATGTTTTTTCCGATGGTCTTAGGCGACCCCTGTGAAAGGTTGAGAACCGCTGGTCTAAGAGGTCCAACATCTGACAGAAAAGGGAGAGGAAATGATCAAATAAATAATAATTCAGGACTCAGCACATGAGAGTCCATATTGAAAGGTCCTACCGAGTAACCACATCAATTGGAAAGAAAAGACCAAAACCGCCAAGACACATCATCACATTTCAGAATTTAAGATAAAGAACCTAACGGGATTGCTCAGCTAAAAAAAAAAAAAGGACCTAAAAGCTGTGAGAGGACTACCTCCAGGGGGGGAAATCAAACAGATTATCGGGCCGGCCAAGTGGCACGATGGTTAAGAACTGGCTTGGGACGCCAGAGGGCCCTGGTTTGGATCCCACATGTGAGGGCCAGTGACACTGCCCTCTACTAAAAAAAACAAAAACAAAACAAAACAAAACAAAAGACAACCACAAAACTATTAGATTATCAAATATAGTTGATTATGAGAAAAATAATGTTCAGTTGGGTTTTATGATTCTGGAATAAAGTTTAGAGAGTATTACCAATAGTGACAGAGAAAACTAATAAGCAAATGAAAACAAGGCAGTTACTGAGTCCAAGAAGAATGAAAACTTATATGGGAAAATAATTAAAATCCTAGGACCTACTTGGCTCAACAGGTAATACTTACACAGTCATAATAAGGTTGCTGAATATTAACGTAAACAACACTTAGAATCTAACCAATGTTATTAGGAGACTGAGGAATGAGGCATTGGGAATGTGAGATAGTATGAGTGTTGAATCGCCTAAGTGTGTGTATGTGATGTAAATAGTCACCGTTTACAGAAAATACCACCTTAAAAAATTTTTACCTTTTCTGCCTTTATAATGGAAAATTAAGCATTAAGATGTTATTTGCTTTAAGCACAGTGGTTTTACAGTATGGAGTTTCATAGCTTTTTGCTTGTTCCCTGGACTGATAGTTCAGCAGTGAAGAAGGCATTCCTACTTTGCTTTTCCCCTCTTACCCTATGGATCAGCACTTGGGAGAGGTATTTTAATGAATGCAAATCTTTAAAACCCTTCAAAGTCCTGAGTTAGAAAGCATTGTTTATTTGCTGTTATTTTGTTGATGACGTGACCTTTCTCTGTGTCTCGTTTTTTGCTTTTCAGGGTAAGGTGGCTGAACGTGGTACCCACCATGGTCTGCTTGGTACCCCTGGCAGTATCTATTCAGAAATGTGGCATACACAGAGCAGCCATGTACCCAGCCAAGATAACCCCAAATGGCGGAAAGAAAGTGTGTCCAAAGAGGAGGAAAGGAAGAAACTTCAGGAAGAAATTGTCAACAGTGTGAAAGGCTGTGGAAACTGTTCCTGCTAAGTCACATGAAACGTTTTCATTTCTTTCTTTTTTTTTTTTTTTGACTTCACATTTGCACTGAAGCAGAATTGTTTTATTAAAAAAAAAATCTTACATTCCCATTATCTATACTCCTTCTTTTAGATAAGATGCATTTGAAAGGGGATTGAAGTTTTACTTCTTTCATAATCTGTTTAATGTGGTACCTATATTTAACCCCAAATTATTTTGTTACTGCCTCAGTGATGCTCAAATCATCATTTTTGTTACTATTTGGCTTTAACCCATTTTTCAGGCCTGATAGCCATTTTAAATCCATAACCAGATGAATCAGATTGGATTCCAAACTTTTGTAGTTTTTAAAACTTCCTTGTGCTGATAATTTAGATGGAAGGTGTCTGTTTCTTAAGATTAAATAAAAAAGAAAAGAGGACAATGAGGTTCATTGTTTCTCTTTCCCCGCTGCCCCCACGGAAATACTTCAATGATAGATACCTATATTTACATCTTTTAAAGTACTTGCCACTATATACCTTGTGGAGGAAAAACCTTGATTGTCATGTTTGTATGTAGAATGCCCTTCATCATTAACCAGCATTCAAACTATTATCTAGTGGTGGGAATTTTATTTTTCCACCAAAATGAGGCATTGCTTTTGTTTTGGACAAAAATTTATATATTTCTCTTTAAAGACTTACAAACACTGGTGTAATTTGAGAGTTGTCATAATGGGAGTGATGGGAAGAGCTTAGGAAGTGAATTGCCTTTCCTATTTCCATCTTAAATGCACTGGTTTTGTAATGTGAAGTTATACAAAGAAACAACTAAAAGATGTGTGCGTGCCCGCTGTGTGTGTGTGTGTGTGCGTGTACTCACACGTGTATAAAGCAACATCCACTTAAAATGGTGAATCTTTAGGTAAATAGGACAGGGCTGGATGATCAGGGCTCTAATCTGTACTGACACTTCAGAATACTTTATTACAAGGTCTTCCCTTCCCTTTTTGGCAATTTAAATATAACAAGGAGGAACCCAAATGAAACAATCAGGTTTTGCCTGCTAGAATTAGTTACTAAGATGTTGGTATGTGTTCACTTAGAAAGCACCTCTCTTTTATAATTTGAATTTACTTTAATTTGGTAGTAATCATTAAGTTTGAAAAACTGTAAGTAATGACCAACCACATGACTGTATGTAATAAGGTTTTATTTCTCAGAAAAGGTCTTATTTATTTTATTGGTTTATGATTTTAATGTGTTTTAAATGATAATTTGGAATGGGTGAGACTAATGATTTTTTCTGTTTTCTGTTGTCATCGGTGGGTGGATATCTAAACTTACCTAACTCGGATGTCCAGTTTTGTTATGTAAAGGCAGTTGATAAGTAGTTTGAAGTATCTCAGTCAGTCTTTGACTCCCGAGTAAGTAATGCAGTCTTGCTTTTGAACTTGTAGTTAACACTGAGATACGTAATCAACTGCAAAATGGGTTTTTTTCTTTGGCCATTTCTTCCTCTGAAGCCATAGACATTAGTGCTCTTCTAAGGGAAAAAGAAAAGCACTTCCTTTGAATAAATCAGCTGTTACTGGAAATGTGGTCAGTCTAGATAGAAATTTTGCTTCTGTTCCTTCTGTACATTTCCAATGATGCTGATGGAAAAGATTTAGCTTAGTTGCATAATCAAGCAGGTAAGAATGAAGTAACCATTAGTAATATTCATTTTGATTGTGCATAAGTAAGTGATCCTGTGATATGGGAAACATTTAGCCCAAGAAAGATAGGAGTATTTTTAGGGTGGGGATAATTTCCCCACTAAGTGATATGAAGTGATTCTTTTTCACCTGATTGGGGGTGTTTTCTAGACCATTGGGTCATTATGGTCATAAACCAGTATTTTCAGCTAATAAAAACTTAAGTTACCTGAAACACATAGGTTTTGTAGGGACCAAAAGTGAGTTTTAAATATTTTTCTCTTAATTCTTAACATCATCTTAAGATTCCATACAGTGGAATAATAGATGAATTAAAATGAAAGCTTTTGAGGATGATTCACTCAGAATAAATGAAAAGAAAAAGGACATTTATTGCAATTGCATTACAATATTACATACACAAAGGATAAAGTGTGTACATTTCTAAGCCAGTGCTGCAACATAATTTTTAATGTATTGGGATGAATAACCTACAGTTTTGGAATATGGGCTCTGAAAATGGAGCAAGATGATAGGGTTTTATTTCTTATATCCCATTATTTTAAAGATTAAAAAATTTACTTTCTTCCTAAGGGAATCCCACTTTACAAAAATTAAATTGAAACCAAGGTAATTTGGGATCATAAAAACTGGGCCAGATGCCTTCCTGGAGGTTTTTATCATAGGAATACCTTGGTGAGCAGATGGGCTCATTTGGAAATTGAGGGTCATTTCTTAGAATCAGAAAAAAGCTTTAGCATTTGGATAAACTCAAAATATGCAGTTCCTTTTCCTCTGCAGGGATTTTTTTACCTTAAAATAAATATTTTGCCTTTTCCCTTAGATATTGACAAAATTCAGTTTGTGAAGATGGCTAGTTTAAAACTTTGTTTTGCATGAAAGGCCAGATATTTAAAGATGATATAATTCCTGGTTTCTGGATCACTTTGCCCATACTGCCATCTTGCTCCTTTGCTTCCTAATTGCTGGATGTGCCAGTGTATATTCATAATTCTCTTACCTTGTAGCTTTATCATGGCACATTCCATTGTGGATTAGTAGTTGGAAGCATTTCAATATGTTTGCAATGGCAGCTTTCTTAAATTATAGAAAGGCCCCTTCTCTCCCTGCTTTGAGTATATAGATTCAGAATGTAAATGGTATATTAAGTGACAATATTAAGTCAAATAAACTGGTTAAAACTGATTAGTTAAGACAAAATGACTCAGCGAGAGAGGCTCTAAACGACAGTTTTATTGTTATAGCAATCTGTGCGGATAATCGGTGCTGAATAAACAATGTATCTTTGTGACTAGCAGTGGGTGTCCCATTGAAGCAGGTCTTTTCTGCAGTGCATAGGGAGAACTGATATTTTGCCATTGACACACTCAGAATAAGTACAGATAATTAACAGACACTCTGGGAGTGTGGCCTTTTGCAACCTTTTACAGAAGGTGAAAACTTGGAATTGTCTCAGAGAGAAAGTAATTGCTTGCAGAGCTTATAATATGGGTAAAATGGTAGCAAATTACACTGCTTTCACTTAGCATTAAGCTGTCATATTTTTGATGACCAGTCAGCGAAAGGCAACATTCTGTTGCTCCCAGTTTCTCAGTTGTAATGATCAAGAAGGAAATCTTTGGGGTGGAGAAATGTCTTGACAGTAAGCCATGCATTAAACTAGCATTTTGACTAGCTAGGGGGAGTTGGACATGAAATATGCATTCTAATTACAAACAGGTTGGAACATTTTTGGTTTTAAAAAGGCAGTGGATTATTTCCATATTTCATGTCCTCACACAGCGGTGGTAGAGTGTTTTCCACTGCTGAGTTTCTATTTAATTTATATTTCATAAAATAGGATTTTAGAGTTGGAAGGAATTTAGAGGTCCTTTCACTTGTTCTACAAATGCAGGGACTGAACTTCAGAAGAAGTCACTGAACTTGCTAGAAGCCAAGTTCAAATGAAAACCCTGGTTCCTGACACCCAGTCCATTTTTCTTTTTGCTGGACTATATTTACACTCAAAAGTTATGTTAAAGAATACAGTTGACCCTTGAACAACACAATCCATGTATAAGTTGATCCACATAGTTCAAACCTGTGTTCAAGGGTCAACTATATATTGAAGAGTGAGACTCCCAAAGTGGTGAAGTAAGGAGCTCAATGTATCCTCTCTCTAGCAAAAGAACAATTTAACTAAAAATTATCTTTTTAAAAAGCAATCATTTAGTCTCTAGAAATTGTCTAAAGAGCATATAGCAAATGGAGAAACATTTATTTAAGAAAACCTATTAAATTTGGTAAGAACAGCAAGAGTCTGTGGCATTTAAGGAATTACCAGCACACCCTTCACCCAATCAGGTCTGTTACAGAAGCTCTACCCTGGGTGCTACATTCTGGCAGGTGTGGTGAAGATGTTGAGGGGATTAGGGCTTCCTCTTTCCCCAGCTCCCACTCTGGGTCTGTGGTTTCACCCTGGCAGAGGTAGCTGCCTGCATTTCTCTACCAGCCCCCCAACCCTGTGGTACAGAAACTTCCAGGCAGACACAGCCAAGAAGACTGCAGATCTTTTCCACCCTCAGCCCTCACTGTTAGGGTAGACACACTGCTCCATGTGCACACTGAGAGTACTGGGGCCATGGTTTCTTCCACCCAGCTGACTCAGATGTTGGAGGTTTCACTCAAGGAGAGGAAAACAGAATACCAAGGGACTGCCACCACGCCCCAGTGCCCAGTCGGAGAGTGGTAGTTTCACTCTGGAGCCCCAGTGCCCAGCTCTGGTTCTTTCCAAGGGCTCAAGATGCGATGAGGACAAAGACTTCCCTTGCTCTGCCTCAGGGGACTACATTTGAAACAGAGTGTGGAGAACTCCATCCCTAAGGACATTATAAGAAACAATGGAGATCTTGGTGGAGAGCAATTAGGAGGAGCAGCAGAGCAACCAAAAGTTTAATAGAGCCCTCCTGGGAGCATAGTCAACTCTGGGGATTGAAAAGGCTGTGTGCATGTGATGGGCCATACCCATTTAGGATGAGCAGAGCAGAATGTGGAACAGACTTAAAAGCATTTCCAAACACTTGCAAACTCATCAGCACAGGGCAGAAGCTTTGCTGGCAAAAGAAACTTGGCTCTGACCCAGAAGTGACACCTACAAACAGGCTTAAAAATAAAATCACTCATCTCTGGCAACCTGGAAGACTGTCCATATGTCTAAGGCTGTGGCCTCTCGGAACAGAGAAAGAACCGCTAAGCTACTAGTCCGTACTGAGCGTCAGTCAAAAGTAAACTCCCTGAACTATGTTAGCAGCCACCAAGCACACATATCCAATGGTAAAGGGTAAAAACGGCAATGACCAATAAGTGCCTTATGCCAACCTAGGGGCAACTCTTAGGTAGCTAGAATAGAAGATGGAGATAACATCAGGCTGCACACTTCAGGAGAAATAAATAACCAAGCAAACTGATCCCCCAGAGGAGGGCGATCATCCAGAGTTGTTACAAAATTCAATATAAAATGTCCAGTTTATAACAAATTATAAGACATGCAAAGAATCAGGAAAGTGTCACCCATACATGGGGTGGGGTGGGTTGGGGGGAAGCAGGCAATACACACTGCCTTAGGAGGGGCCCACATGGTGGATGTACCAGACAGGGTTTTACCAATAAAGAAATAGAAATTATTTTTAAAAGAACCAAATGGAAATTCTGCAGTTGAGAGGTACAATAATTGAAATGACAAATTACTTACAGGAGCTCAATAGTTTATTTCAGCTAGTTGAAGAATCTGAACTTGATACAGAGGAAAGGAACAGGAAAAAAACATTAAATGGATGATGTCTAAATTTGATGAAAAACATTAATCTACACATCAAAAAAACCTCAACAACAAACACCAAGTTGGCTCACACAGAGCTCACACCCAGACACATGATAGTCAAATTTTGAAAACTAAAGATGAGAAAATCATGAAAGCAATAAAAGAAAAATGATTCATCACATACAGGGAAACCCCAATATGATTTGCAGGTAAGTTTCATCAGGAACAGTGAAAGCCAGGAGATGGATGATATATTCAAATTGCTGAAATTAAGAAAACTATCAACGAATAATTTTATATCCAAAACTGAAGGTGAAATGAAGATGTTACCA